TATCATTTTTACATGTCTCCCATACATTTTTAAAAAAGCATCTCGTACACAGAGAGAATTTTCTCTTAGAATATCTCACTCTGAAAATCGAATTTTATAAGAGTTTCTCTAATTAATATTTAACCATTGCACAATAAAAAATATTAATGTCTACCACAATGAGATATAAAATTTACTATGTACATAATTCATATTTTTTATTTTGGTAAATATTATTCAGAGAAGCTCTTACAAAATTCTTCCAATACCACGATTTTCCGAGAAAATTCTCTCCATGTAGAATATATGCTTCAGCTATTCAAACAAAATTGTATGCATTTATTAAATCCAAAAACAGTAGCTTTAATGTATCAAACTGGAAACGACGTATATAATAATTTTGCTGAATTTTGTCTCATTTTTAGATGTCTACCATGCATCCTGAAAAAAGCAATCTTGTATAGAACGCTTCGGCTATTCGAGCAATTGTACGCACTTATTTATTGCATGCACTTGTTGTTTCTCTATACGCCAGAGAACTATATAATATATATATATGATATACATTCCGCGCTTCGATACAGCACGTGGGTGCCGAAGAAGAACTTCAACGTCCGATCGCGCGATACGGCGAGCATTGTGCATTACGTATTATTAGACACGCATCCTGGCAGCGAATAATCGCGAGCGGCCTACCTATCCACTTAAACGGAGAACATCGCGGACACGCGTGACGTAAGCGATTTTAATACTCATCATCCACCGTCCGCGCACCTATATAGGTATATATACATATATATGTATGGACGCGCGGCGAAGTAGATCTCTTTTAAAAGATCCCTCCGCATTGTCCGGGATGAATGCGGACACGCAGTTATCTGCAATCCGCGTAGCTGTCACTGTCGTTATTTTCAACGGCATTATGGCCGTTTCTGTAAATACCGGCCTGCTGGTGCCTCGGATAAGGCTCTGAATGCTACAAGTGCTCGCGTCGACTACCATAGTTTCCATTTTCATTGTTCAATCGCGCGCCGAGACTTTTCATTTAAGGATTTTAATCCTGCAATCGATATTTCTGGGTCAACTCTGGCTTCTCGCTCTCTCTACATATCTCTGGTTCTCTATTTTTATTGTCAAATGATGATACAAAATGACAATCCTTGAATAGATTCTCTCGACAACTTGCTCCCGAATCAGAGACAACCCACGTAGCAAAGTGACGTCATTAAATGTCAAAGTGACGTCAAAGTGACATATGTTTGCTATTTGAAAAGTCCTGTGAATTAAAAGGTGACTCAACTTTGTTAGGGGTAACTTTGCGATTTTCCGGAATACGCTGATATACTCGAGTAGAGTCGTCCCAAGTAGCAAACTGACATTAAACGTCAAAATGGCGTCTCTTTGACGTCTAATGACATCATTTTGACGTTTAATGACGTCAATTTGCTATCTGATATCTGAATCGTGCGCAGAGACTTTTAATTTAAGAATTTTAATCCAGCAATCAATATTTCTAAGTCAACTCTGGCTTCTCTCTCTCTCTCTTTTTGTTGTCAAATGATGATACAAACCCAAGTAGCAAGTATACGTAATTTTGACATTGACGTCATTAAATGTGAAAAAGACGTCATTATGACATTTTTTACAGTATAGTTCAATCAGTTTCAAACTATAAGAATATCCCAAACTGACGTAATTTTGACGTTTAATGACCAGTTTGCTATTCTTTAGATTTATTCATTTTTTCAAGACTCAGTTTTGTCCTTCATTTTTTATTTAATGTCTAATGTCGTAGAATTAACATAAAAATTAATACCCCAAGTAACAAACTGATTTAACGACGTCATTTCGACATTTAATCACGTCAGTCTGCTACCTGGGAAATGACAATCCTTGAATAGATTGTTTCGACAGCTGGTCCCGAATCAGAGACCACCCAAGTAGCAAATTGGCGTGATTAAACATCAAAATGACGTCACTTTGACATCATTAGATGTACGCTTGCTGGCTGGAAAGTCCTGCAACATCTCAGAGGGTAACTTTGCGATTTTCCGGAGCACGCTGATACACAAGTAGAGTCGTCTGAATCGTCTGGGCGTATTAACAAACTAATTAAGGCCATAATGTTCGTTATACCGAAGCTCGCGTTATTAACGAGACCGCGCGTCTCTATGCGTTTCTATATTTATTTATGGAACAGGTCACACGTGAGACGCCGATGTAGGGTCAGCCAGCAGCTATCCTATCCCGAGAGCACAAGAACGTCCTCTCTCTCTCTCTCTCTCTGGCTCATCGTCGCGTTATAGCACCTATTCTCCAGCGGATCGGATACGCCGTTGTACAACAATAGTTACACACATTGTGACACGTTCCCTGAAATGAACCGACGCCGACGGGGACCGTCAAAGTTTTCCGCTCGAGCGCATAACCGCTTTTACGATCGGTAAAACCGAGAACGTCGGCTGGAAGAAATCACGCGTGGCGCTTAACTATCCGTGTGTTAATCCTCCGATGTGTCACAAGGTCGGGCGACGTTTGAATGCGAGAATAATTTTCATTCGTCTGTAATTAATCAGTTTTTTTTTTTTTTTTTCAAACTATATGTACCTATGGGAGAATTATCTAAAAATGATACAAAATTCAGAGAAGTTATTTTAATCTTGGAAAATTTGTTACTATGATCGATTATATTACGTTAAAAATATATCGAAAAATGGTGCCATATATTTCACATTTTCTATATATATGTATATAATTCCGAGGTAGCAAGCATACGTCATTTTGACGTTTAAGTAATTAAGGAACAATTTCGAAAGAAGCACTTTTCTCCGATTTTTTAACATTCGGATGCGTCAACAGCTGAAAATTAGGAAATTAAACTAGCGATTTTCCATGTCTCCCAAACACATCCCTAAAGATGCAATTCTACGATTCTCTAATATTTCTTCTTGCGATGACGAAAAAATTGAATTGTTAATGGGACTATCAGTTTTCTCTCGTGAAAAAGAAAGTTCAAAGAGTAGCGAGATAGCGCTATCGCCAACTTTTTGGCAAGCATCCACCACGATTTAAATGCCCTCTCGTCCTGGGGACCATCTTTAACGCTCTGTTGCACTTTGATGGCACTGGCTGCCTCTAATTTCCGAACATGCAATTTTGCGACGCACGTGTTTACGCTTCTTGAAATTTTTCTTTTCAGAGAGCAGCCGAAAGAATCCACCAAGTAATAAAAGAAAGGAAAGACACACATATATATATATATACGCGAGAGATGTTTCTAAGGGGTCCAGGCGTCTCCTCTCCATTAAGATATTTCGATTCGATAAATTCTTTCTCTCGCACAGTCCTCGTGCGAGAAACGAGGCTATCTGGAAGGATGAACAATTCAAAGCGCCTCGTTAGACGGCGTAAGGTAAAAATTACAAGCCCGCATCGATTTTCGAACGACGTCCCGTCACTCGCTTCCGATTATCTCGACGCAGACACGACGCCGTTCGACCTTCGCAAACGTTGCTTGCGAGAGGGAGTGAAGAGAGAGAGAGAGAGAGAGAGAGAGAGAAGCTCGATAACCGAGTTGTTCGCGCCTACTCGCCGCGCGAGAGGAACAGACCGTCGAAACGGAAACGTTAATACCACAGCGAATAACAGCGAAGTACATTCGCGCTTTTGTTCTTATTCGCGGTAAATGTCGACTGGCGTAAAACGTAGCGATCCAGATATACGTTGTAATATCCTCGATCGAGTCCTTTCTCCGAAGGAGAAGAGGGAAATTCATTCCAATATACAGGGTGTCTGACATAAAGTGTCACACCGATAATATACAAGTAGATCTTGTCATTTGGAGACGATTTTTCCTCAACAAAAATGTCGAAGGAGGTCATCATTTTTTGCATGTTCCTAAATTTTGCCATCGTGTATCTTTATAACTAAACCTTATATTGAAATTTTTGTTAAAGTAAACTCTACTTGAAATTAATTGAAGAATATGATTTTGTTAATACTTTATTTCCACAAGCCTGAGTTTGTGAAAAACCCTTTATTTTCAATCGCTTATAACTCGAAAATGATTGACGTCTCAAGGTTTTTGACCGAGGAAAAATTGTCTCTAAATAAGAACATCTACCTGTATATTTTTGGTGTGACACCTTATGTCAGACACCCTGTATAATTCTCGTAAGAATTTATTGAATAAATCCAAAGGGTTAAGGGGATCCTGACTCCGTAGACTCCCAAGTAGCAAAATGACGTCATTTTCGCGTTTAATGACGTCTCTCGACGTCAAAATTACGTACTTTTACTACCTCGGCTGTTTTATCGACAAATTTTATTTTTATTCGACTGTTTATTGGCTATAAGAATGAAAAATCCTTTTTTAAAATTTAAATATTCATAATGACAGCCCAGATGACAAGCATATACGTCATTTTGACGTTTAATGACGTCAGTTTGCTACTTGGAAAATCTGGACTACTCCTATATATGTATATAAAAAAACCAAGAGGATTAAACAATTACAGTTTTTTTATAAGAAATTATTTATATGTTTTTTATATTTTATATTTGGCGTTTTCTTACAAGAAAACTGCAATTGTTTAATTTTCCTGTTTTTTTTTATATACATCCATATAACCCAGATTTGTTATTTCCCAAATCCAAAAGGATTTTTCATTTTGTGCAACCAATAAATAGTTAAATGAAAATAATATTTGTCGATAAAACAAATAAAGTCAGCATCCCCTTAAAAGAGGAAGGAACAGCTAGAAAACTTGTTTATACGCTCGCAGGATGTAAAATTACAGAGAGACGGTGGAGAAGATCTCTCTCTCTCTCTCTCTCTCTCTGTCTCGACGTAAATATTTTCAAGACGACTTCTCGAGAAAAAGCTGAAAGCTCCGCTGTAAATGCAACTGTTTAATCCTTCGGAGAGCGTTAATCTGACATTCGCAAAGCCGCCCTTTCCCTCGCTGTGAAGTCGCTACTCGCAAATAATTTAAATATCGCTGGCGTTTCTATAATTACAGGCGTCGAGCATGCCATGCGCACTTAACGGGGAGGTAATCGCGTTGCACACCTGGCGCAACATGCATCCTTCCACGCCCTTGCCGCAGCAGCAGCTCGACCGCCTCGCCAGGGATATCGAACTGGCCGCATTCGATGAGGAATCTGTCGCAATTATGGCAGTTATCGAGTACGTTACTTCCCTCCGTACATATATACATCGTCCTTCGTCCCGATAAGGCTCGGAAACTGCCCGGAAATTCTCCGACGAAGAAACTCATTCGGAGAGGAAGAGACCCAGCAAACACAGTATATAAATGTTATATACTTAAGCATGTTACATGTAATGTATATGTTAGTTGTAATTTGTCACTCATAGATGTAACATTTTTAATATTACATATATTACATTGTAGTTATATTGTCATTATATTCCAAGATAGCACTGACTTATCAATACATCAATGTGCTATTTGGTATATAATTACAATATAACTACAATGTAATATATGTTATATTAAAATGTTACATCTATGAGTGGGAAATTACAACTAACATGGATGTTACATGTAACGTGCACGTTATATTACCTGTTATATTCCGTTTTATTATAGCAATGTAACAATTATATATCGGTGTTTGCTGGGGAGAGAGAGAGAGAGAGAGAGAGAGAGAGAGAGAGAGAGAGAGAGAGAGAGAGAGAAGAATGTTCTTCTTCTTCATCTTTTTTCTCGAGTCATTTTTAATTTCAAACTTTAAGGCCGCGTTTTATTACGGCGAAATGAGATACAGGATGAATCTTGATTACTGCTTCTAATTTCCGAGGCTTAATTTGTGCAAACGATTTTCTTCCATTCGATACGTATATCATCGATGTATACACTGGAGAAAAAATGTTGTTGCGTTAACAAATATTTTGTTCGGAAATAGACGAAACGTAATTACTGCTTGTGAATCTACCAGAATTCCATTTAATGCAACAAATATTTTGTTTGCACAAACAACTGATTTTTTGTGCAAATAAGATGCTTGTTGCATTAAAAAGAACCATAGTAATTCTATTTCGTTTATTTTCAAACGGAATTTTTGTTAATGTAAAAACATTTTTTTCCAGTGCAGGATGGCCCACACTGAAAAAAAATTTGTTAACTTGATTAAACCTTTCAACTAAATTACTATTTTGTTAATTGAACGTATATTAATATTTAAGTCAAATATACATTTTGTTAGATTTAATGTTATATTTAATTTAAATATTTCTATATGTTCAATTAACAAAATAATATTTAGTTGAAAGGTTTAGTCAAGTTAACAAATTTTTTCAGTGCAGAACTAGCGGTAAACCTGTTAATGATAGATTCCTGGAATTTTATTTGGAGACGATTTTTCCTCAACGAAAGTGTCGAAGCATCAAGAATTTTCGAGTTACATATAAGCAATTAAAAATAGTGGTTTTTTTGCAAACTAATTTATTAATTTCTTTATTATTAATTTCATATATAGAGTTTACTTTAATAGAATTTTCATTTAAGGCTTAATTGATTGGCAAAAATTGGGAACATGCAAAAAATGCCATTAACAGGTTTATTATTAATTTTAGGACATCCTGTATACTTTTGCCGAAGGAGAAACGAAATTGACGAAAGAGAAATATTCAATAGGCAACGTAAGAATGAAAGGACTCGTCGAGCTGGGAGGAACGGGAAATTATTATTATTTATTAGCGCGCGCAGATGCAAATTTTATTTACTCCGTTTCTGCGCTCGTAAATGCCACTTAATTGTGCTAAATTAACGGAGACGGGATCCTTTCGGATGCGCACACGCAGACTAGGATCTAATTGGCGAACACACTCACAAAATTTCCTACGCGTATTAAGGCCACGTTCACGGGACAAGTGAAACACGTCCGTAATTGGAGCGCCGCCGGTCTACATCAAGATCTGGCTCTACTACTGACGCGAATTCGCGCCGCCGCGCTGTCTTCGCCTTCCTTCGACGGAACGCGATCGAATTGTGTGATTCTGGACGATAACAAGCCGGAAACTTTATGCCGATGCTCTGCTCGTCGCTTCCACAATGTTATCCCGGGTGTAAGACGCTACGTTACATCAAGACGCTTCACGTATTCTCTCTCAAACATATATAAATTTATATATATAATATATATTTTTTTATTATTATTTGTATTATATTAATTATTTATTATATATATTATTATTTATACATTAATTAATATATAATTTTATATAATAGATAATTTTATAATATTATATAACACGTATAATTATATAATTATATACGGAGAAAATTTTCTCTTAGAATTTACTCTGGAAATCACGGTAATCGTGGAACAATATGGTATTGGAGTTTTATAAGTTTTCTCGATTAATGTTTATAACAAAATAATAAAAAAAATATTAATATGCATACTTATAGTAAAATTAATTGAACATTTTATATCTTATTGTGGTAGATGTTAATATTTTTTATTGTGGTAAAACTCTTATAAAATTATTTTAAGAGGAAATCCTCTCTGTGTATACATTATATAATAATGTGTATATATACAGGGTGTTAAAAATTAGACCGTATTTTGAAGAGTAATATAGAAGACTCCAAAGTAAACATTTTTTGTTAATATTATTTTTCTCTACGATGTTTAGTTTTAATCCTACGCGGTATGAAATAGGAGTTTGTAACTTAAACGCTAAACAAATATAAAGTGTTTCAGGAGAAATGGTCAGCATTCTGAGACATAATTGTATGTACACAGCATTTTAAGCAAGAAGTTTATATAAACATGTGGTTCTGTTTTGGACAGTTAGAAAGGATACAACGTATACATTCATTAATTTGTTAGAACTAAAGTCTATGAAATAATTACATGAAATTTTAAGCTTACGATACATTTGAATAATTAATATTAATTAGCGGACAAGAACTTCAAATAATTAATAATAATTTTGACTTGAGTAAATAGGAGCCATTTTAATTACGCTAGAAACCAAAAATTTTAAACTAACACAGGACTTATCAAACGTGACCTAATTTACATGTAGCATAATTATGGTAATAGGAAACGACGAAAATTTAATATAGTTATTTCATAACATTTGATTCTACTAACAATAAGTTAATAAATGTTCTTAATCTTAAACATGTTGTATAAGAATAGGACACAGGCTTACATAAACTCTTGCTCAAAATAATGTGATACAATCAAGTCCTAAAATGTTGATTATTCCTCCTGAAGTATCCTGTTTATAAGTGGAAAAATTAAATTGTATGTTAATCTTGAACAAAACAGAATTCATAAATTCATAAAAGTGAATCATTCTTTTTACAGCTCAAAAATTCCTCCATTAATTTCAATATAAAAGTGACAACCTCAAAAGTAACAAGTTTATATTTTATACTATCTAATATTAGAACTAAACGTTGCAGAGAAAATTAATATTAACAAAAAATGTTTATTTTTAAAGTCTTCTTTTTCAAGTTCTCCAAAGTTTGTTGGTCCAATCTTTTTAACTTATATATATATATATATATATATATATATATATATATATATATATATATATATATCGATTCGTACTTGGAATGACAAGGTGAAAAAATTGTTAATAAAAGAATGGAAAGAACTTCGGCGAAAAATCTCGACGACCTATACTTTCGTGGAATGCGAAGACTCGATAGCGAAAAAAAAAGTCCGTAATAATCGATAATTCATTTCCTTAAACTTAAATCCTCGGTGTTGACATTGGAAAACGCGCGCGCGGAGCCTTTTCTCCTTTCTTTTTCCAGTTCTCACATATGTGACACGTCTTTATTTGCGCGAGGGTCGGACAAGTAGCTCGTTGAAGGCGAAGTGGCGCGGATTTAGGCGAAAAAGTCGCGCCTTTTGCGCGGAAACGGAGTGAAAGCCCCGCGGCATCGGTTGCGCTTCTCACGGTTTACCCATCGTGCCAAAGTACGACAAAAGAACTCTCTCTCTCTCTCTCTCTCTCTGCTCCTTTTTTATTACCGTTCTCCAGAGTGCTCTCTTGCGCGTTGACGGCGGATCGAGGATTAAGACGACTCCGTCGAGCGAAACAAGACGCGAGAGCACTTGCGCACTCATCGAGATCATAGACAGCTGGCGTGTTCGCGAGAGAAACAATTAAGCTGAGAGGATGCTACTTTTTGCTTCTCAAATAAAAATTAAATCACGCGGATTTATGTTAATTTAATTAATTTATCGTTGCACGGAAATAAAGTCGCGAAAGCGTTTTTATAACTGTCACGCAGCTTTTGACGCTCGTGCCGTATAAATTCTCTGATAAACATCGATTTAAATAAATATATTCGCGAGAGAAAGTAAAATGTGCATATTAAATATCCGTAAAAAATAAATATTGATACTGCAAATATTTGCGCGTTAATTTATGATTCCGTTTTTTGACATCTTACTATCCTCATTATTGCTATACACGATGATTATCCGGTCTTTAATTTAGAAGACTCCTTTATTTCAAGTAGCTCTCCTTTAGGTTTTCCATTTTTCCAAAACTCAATTTTGTCCTTTATTTTATATTTAGCGTTTTATTGTCTTAAAAATTAAAATTTTATTGCCCTAAAAATTAAAGGTTTCAACATAGTCAAACTATAAGGATACCCCAAGTAGCAAATTGACGTCATTAAACGTTCCAAATAACGTCATTTTCTAAAGCTGTGTTCTTTCTGACGCAACAACGAGCAATTTTTTTAAGAAACATGGAACATTAACTAAAAGTTGTTCGTTCCTGCTTTAGTTAAGACGCAGCTTGAAACTTTTGGTAACAACTAGCAACTTTTTTTAAGAAACTTGGAACATTAACAAAAAGTTGCTCTAGTGAGGACGCAGCTTGAAACTTTCAGCAACAATTAGGAACTTTTTTAAAAAACCTGGAATATTAACAAAAAGTTGCTCATTGTTGCTCCAGCTTATGGAACTTTTAGCAACAACCAGCAACTTTTTTAAGAAACCTGGAACATCAACAAAAAGTTGCTCTAGTGAGGACGCAGCTTGAAACTTTCAGCAACAACCAGCAACTTTTGTAAGAAACCGGGAACATCAACAAAAAGTTGCTGGTTGTTGCTTCAGTGAAGACGCAGTTTATAAAACTTTCAGCAACTTTTTAAAGTAACATGGAATATTAACGAAAAGTTGCTCGTTGTTGCTCCAGAAGACGCAGTTTATGAAATTTTCGGCAACAGCTAGCAACTGTTTCAAGAAACATCTCAGCAAACACCTAGCAAAGTTGCTAGTTGTTACCAAAAGTAACAATATATAATTGTTACATTGCTATAATAAAACGGAATATAACAGGTAATATAACGTGTACGTTACATGTAACATCCATGTTAGTTGTAATTTCCCATTCAAAGATGTAACATTTTAATATAACATATATTACATTGTAGTTATATTATAATTATATACCAAATAGCACATTGATGTATTGATAAGTCAGTGCTATCTTGGGATACAATGACAATATAACTACAATGTAATATATATAATATTAAAAATGTTACATCTATGAGTGGGAAATTACAACTAACATATACGTTACATGTAACATGCTTGAGTATATAACATTTATATATTGTGTTTGCTGGGATATGGAACACGAAGAAAAACTTGCTCGTTGCTGCTCCAGTAAGGACCAACATAGCATTTGATGTCAAAATGACGTACGTTTGCTACATTTTTTGCTCGTCGATGTTGAAACAAATCCCAAAAAATGTTCGCTACTACATATACGATTTTTCAGTATATACATCAGCTGTTGTCTGTCTCTGCTCGCAGACTCGATGTCTCCGCCGAGGGGAGCAAGCGTGGGATGTAGTTGACACTACCTTCCACCTAGCGAGAGCAGGACGACGACGGAGGTGGAGGGGAACGAGGAGGAGGAAGACGAGGACGAAGACGAAGAGGCGAAGGAAGAAGAGAAGGGAAGAGACCGCGAGGGTAGCGTAAGATCGGCGGGGCGACGCCGTCTACGCCGGGTATCCCGCGACACGAGGAGGACCGGAAGCGTGGCGTTCGCGCGTTCGCGCGTACGTGCGTGCGTACGTACGTACGTGCGTGCGTGCGGGCGGGCGGGCGGTCAACGTGCGTGCGCGCGCGTGCGCGCGCGCGAACGAGCGCGCCGCGTGGGCGAACGCGCGCATGTTAAAGGGCGGCCGAGCGAGCGGCGAAGGTGGGCTACTTGCGGAGGAGTGCCCCGAAGATCGGGGTACCGCCGAGGATCGCACGAGCGAGCGAGCGAGAGCAGCATTGGTCGTCGCGGAGGATAGGTGAAGGAGGACGGAGAAAGAGAGGGAGAGGGCGAGAGAGAGAGAGAGAGAGAGAGAGAAGACAGTCCGTCTCAGACATGAACGTTACTCCGATGGTGGAGGTACCCGGCAATGAGAGCTACAACGTCAGCACCAACGGTCTCGACTGCGGCGGCGAGCCCCACGAGTACGGGATATGGGGGCGTGTGTTGATAGTGACGGTCGCCGTGTTCCTCAGTCTCACTACCGTCCTCGGCAACATAATGGTCATGGTGTCGTTCAAGATCGACAAGCAGCTGCAGACCATCTCCAATTACTTCCTCTTCAGCCTGGCGATAGCCGACTTTGCGATCGGCCTAATCTCCATGCCTCTCTTCACGCTGTACACGGTCCTCGGTTACTGGCCCCTCGGGCCGATCGTGTGCGACACGTGGCTGGCCCTCGATTATCTCGCGAGCAACGCCTCGGTACTCAATCTGCTCATCATCAGCTTCGACAGGTACTTCTCCGTCACGCGCCCGCTCACCTATCGGGTCAGGAGGACGACCGCGAAAGCCGCCATCATGATCGGTGAGTGTCGATCGACCTTTGTATACGAGAGTGAGTGAAGTGGTGTGTGGGAATTAATGTTTGTTCAACATAATCCCAGCATCTGCCTGGGGTATCTCGTTGATTCTTTGGCCACCCTGGATCTACGCGTGGCCGTACATCGAGGGCCAGAGGACCGTGCCACCGAACGCGTGCTACATCCAGTTCATCGAGACGAACCACTACATCACCTTCGGCACCGCCATCGCCGCCTTTTATGTTCCTGTCTTCATAATGTTATGTCTCTACTGGCGGATCTGGAAGGAGACGAAGAAACGGCAGAAGGATCTGCCCAACTTGCAGGCCGGCAAGCAAGACGCGAGCAAGCGCAGCAACTCGAGGTGGTAACTAACGCTTTCAATTGTTTCTCCCTCCGAACATTGTCGTCAGCACGTCATCAAAATATAAATGCAACACCCCTGCACAAGAGAGATGGTAAACGCAATTGCCCCACGGTGGAGGATCGATCTCCTCCTTTTTCCCCTTAGCCCTGATTTCATGTGACACAGGAGATAGAGATGCACCGGTCAAGGAGTATCGTTAAATTATTCTACTTTCTTCCTATATTACGATATTATTTTTAGTCACGCATTTTTCACCCTCTATATTAAATGCAATATCTCAAATTAAATAGCCCGCCTTTTTGTTACTTTGATGTTTCCTATTAGTTTTTGGTCTTGATTCTCGTTAAAAGATCTACAAATTTCGTTATTTATTTTAATGTTACTTGATAATATATTACTTGTGTGATAATATATATTATTTTGATGTTAATAATATTTCGTAACAAATTAATATAAGGAAATACTCCTTTCGGCAACGCGAGTAATAATTTGCGAATAGTTCGCGAGGTCGAAAGGATTATTATAGCTCGAAGTTACTCATTGTCATATTTTCCATCTAGCGACGAGGCTTTAGATATGGAGGATTGCAGAAGACAGCGAAGCGAGTCGAGCACCGGCGAAGAAGTCTCGCATGCCACGCACATCGCCGTTTCCTACATTGATAAGCACTATCCGCAATACAAGAGCGTAAGTTTTTCCTACAAGTGCCGTAACAAAATTCAGAGTCATTCCACAATAAGTTGCAAATTGCGCCATCAATCAGAGCAAAGCAGCTTGTCAGCTGATTGATGAATCTGCAACTGTCAACTGACACCCAGGGCATTTGCAATCTATTATCGAATGACCTTGAAACTCTTCATGTATGTACAATACGCGATACAAGAGCGTAAGTTTTCCCTACACGTGCCTTATAAAAATTAAGAGTCATTCCACAATAAGTTGCAAATTGCACCATCATCAGAGCAAGCTTGTCAGCTGATGAATCTGCAACTGTCAACTGACACCCAGGGCATTTGCAATCTATTATCGAATGATCTTGAAGCTCTTCATGTACATATAATACAATTGCTGATTCGATCACGCGTCGTTCGACTACAACCTTATCGTTTTTTGGACGAGCAGCACAGGCCGTTCTCCTGGACCTGGCTGAAGATGTGGTGCATCGCGTGGTGGCACAGCGGACGAGAGGACGAGGACGACGACGAAGACATGGCAGGGCCGGAGAGCAGCCGCACCGGACCCGGCTACGAGGACACGCTTACGCCGCTGTCGGCCGAGACGCCGCTTCCCAGCACGGTATCGCGATGTCCCTCCCTCAGCGCGATACAGGCCACGGGAATCGTCCTGGACAAGTCCGCGATCCAGCACGAGTACAAAAGGCCGATACGACCGCCCGATCTCAAGACTATCTCCAGCGATTCCGTACGTGACATTATCCTACTAGACCTTATTGCGAAGAGAGCACCCATCAGCATTTTATTACATTTCCAGCAAACACAATATATAAATGTTATATACTCAAGCATGTTACATGTAACGTATATGTTAGTTGTAATTTCCCACTCATAGATGTAACATTTTTAATATTACATATATTACATTGTAGTTATATTGCCATTATATCCCAAGATAGCACTGACTTATCAATACATCAATGTGCTATTTGGTATATAATTACAATATAACTACAATGTAATATATGTTACATTAAAATGTTACATCTATGAGTGGGAAATTACAACTAACATGGATGTTACATGTAACGTACACGTTATATTATCTGTTATATTCCGTTTTATTATAGCAATGTAACAATTATATATCGGTGTTTGCTGGGTTAAAATCAATTATTATGGTCCCATCTGAACTTGGAATTAAATCTGCATCCCCGTTTTGCAGGTTTATACGATTCTGATCAAATTGCCGAGCAACGGCGGCAAGTACAGCGAGGGACCGAGCATAAAGATGATCCACGACGAGTCTGTGTCGTTCCAGCTGCACAGCATGATGGAGGACAGCGAGGACGACGGCGGCGGTGGAGGTAACACTAGCGGCGGCGTCGGCGGCGGCGGCGGCCTCACCGTCGGCAGTGCCGGCAAGGTGTTCCGTCTAGGAGCCGGACCGAGCCCGTCGACGGTCGCGCTGAGGAGGCCGTCGCAGATGCCGGACATCAGGATACCGTTGAACGCGAAGAACATACCGAAGGTGCTGACGAGCAAGTGCGGCCTGCTGAACAAGCAACCGAACAAGAAGAAGAAGAAGCTGCAGGAGAAGAAGGCGGACAGCAAGGCCGCGAAAACGCTGCTGGCGATTCTGCTCGCGTTTCTCATCACGTGGACCCCGTACAACATCTTGGTACTCGTCAAGTCCCTCACCGCCTGCGAGTGGTACATACCGCAGCAGCTGTGGGACTTTTTTTATTATCTTTGCTACATCAACAGTACTGTGAATCCGATGTGCTACGCGCTGTGCAACGCGGTCTTCCGCAGAACCTATATAAGGATTCTCAAGTGTAAGTGGCACAGCAGGAACCGCGGCACCGCGGTCGTCGACCGGGGATGATATCAGTAACCGATGCGCAATTCAATCTTTTCGCATCGGTGTCCAAATCCAAATCCCCACACCCACGCACACGTACACACACTCACAATACATACATGCGCAATGCTGCATTATTATTATCGTTATTATTATTATATTGCCGTTTACTTTTCCTCCTTTTTGCGCGTTTCTCAGAGCGCACGAAGAAACGAGGAAGCGAGGAGACCGGCCAAACTGCCGCGAATGAGTTTGGCTCTCGCGACTGCCAAACCAACCCTGTTCCTATTCGACGTCGTTCGAGTACGTCCGAATATTCCGGGCCGTGTATTATCCTTCTTCCGGTTCCGGAATCCTCGGATCCTGCGACGACAATGTCCGCTCGGCCGCTCGCTGCACTTTCTCGCTACGTAGACAAGCTGACAAGCTCGTGTTTTTCTCACCCCGAATAATGTCGAAAAAAAAAGAAACGAGAGAAAGAGAGAGAGAGAGAAATTAACCCCTTGACGACTTTGTTTCCGCGCTGACAGATCGGACGCGCTATTTTTCACAATGGAAATTTATTAATCGTTCGATAATATCATTACGTTGATAATACAATTATCCCTCGACATCTCGGAGAGTTTGATGCTCCTTCTCTCTCCAATATATAATTGCGTTACTGTATAATTACATTGGTGTTCATTAAAGTATGAAAAGAATAACGCGCTAATGGATCCTCGTCGGGGGGTTAACGATATGACGATATACACCGGTCGACGCGAACAGGTCCTTGCTCAAGTAGCGAGATGACGTCATTTTGACGTTTAATGACGTCAATTTGCCACTCGGGTATATACTCATCTTACGCATGTAAATTTGTTTGTCCACAATATTCTCGCAGGTAATATCGAATTTCGACACGATGCGCCGATATCGATTGTCTATAACGGGTCGCGTGAATTGTTAATACGCTGCAGTGGTTCTTCGGCTTTTTTTGGGTCGCGGTCCCTCTTTGAGAAACCGAGGGTTCTCACCCCGATTCAAAACTTTCGAGCAATTCCGTCGGAAATCTGCAATAATCTGTCTCATCCGATGCCGCGTCGCTTCTTCATCTAATTGTAAGAGGAAAAAATGGCGGAGGACCCGTTTGCGTCGCGACAGGAAGCGCGAGTCGGCCGTCAACGCACTAGTCAAAACGCACGCAGTTCCGGTCTCCGAGTTTCGCAGGAAGTAACGCGACGTGGATACTGCCATGAAATATAACGTTCATTAATATCTCTCCGAACCGCGTGGGGAACTCCCACGCGCGTTTTCGGAATTACATTTATACGTGTCCGGTGCACTCCGGGTGCACCAGGGTCCCCCGGTGCGATTCGCCATCGTTGTCGTCTCCGAAAGCGACGCGCTGCTTCCGGGAATCTCCCCACGTAGCAAGCACGCGTCACTTTTGACGTCGAATGACGGCAAAGTGACGTCATTTTGCTACTTGGGTCCTGCCTTCCCGGAAGAAGGAGAGAAAAAGCGGCGGCGAGTGGTGACGGTGGATTGTCAAACACGAAGAAAAAAGCTAAGTCGCACAAGAACCTACTTAAGTAAAAAAAAAAATAAATATATATATATATCGAAAGGATAATGAGATGATATTTATCTCTGTACGTCGCGCGGAGCCGCGACGGGCGATGTAAACATTCGATGTAAATTTTACGACGTAGCGAAGTATGTAAAACTGTAAATGAATGTGTTTAAATGTAATAATGTGCAGGGAGGGAAGCGATGAGGGTGAGATATATGTAGATGATGATGATAATGATGATGATGATGATGATGATGGCTGGCAGCGGCCAGCGGCGGATATACGGGAGGATAATTAGCGATTAGGTGAAACGAAAGAGAGAGGGAGATTAACGCTAAATCGAATTCTTCCGTAAAACTAAAAATAACATTCTAATTATACGTGCCAAACGAAGCTTTAAAAGATTATACCAAGATTATACGGCGAGAAAAGATGGATAGGCGGAAAGGAAGGAACGTCGTATAGAGCGCATTTTCGAGGCTACTTGAGAAACGATACCGAAGTATAGTTAATATATAAAAAGAAGATGAAATAACAAAATAAAACAAATAAGATAAGAGCACTGTGTCGACGAGCGATACACGACTTTATCGAAGAAGGCTCGTAAAGTAATCAAAGTCAATCGTACGCGCGCCGACATGCCTATAGTGACCATCAAGACTGCGAGCTCTTCTCATCTCGATCAATTTCGCAATTATTCCCTTTGAGGCTCCTGGATCCTCGCCATGTCAGATTGTGACGTCAGAGGCGAAAATTCTTAGATGCTATTTTTAAATTGAAAAATATGTATTTTGATGAATTTCTACTTCGGATGACTTTAGCACGCTTTGAAAAAATCTCAAAAACAATTCTTTTCCCTTGACGATTAATCAACAACCGTAAAATGATCGTGATATTTATAGATTTTGTCACGCGAAATGACTGCGCATGTGCAAAAGTTAGACTCGTATTACAGTCATGTTACAGCTGTTGTTTGATTGTAAAGCGAAGAGGATCCCAAATAGCAAGCGCACGTCAGTTTGCTACTTAAGATAGTTTGAAGGTATTTTAAGAGTGTACTGAAACTATCTGAGAAGTGTTGTTTCATCGAAATGACATCTAAGAATTTTCAGTTTCTGACGTCACAATTTTAACACGATTGACGGGGAGCCAGGAGCCTTAATTGTATATCGAATATATATTACAGATTTTTTAATTACATTTTATTGTATACTCTCGTTATTTCGCGCAATTTGTTATTTTTCACGAGTCAAACACGTGTTTTCGATAAACGTCAAAACTAGTCATATACATATATATATATATGTATATATATGGTGTGCGAAAAATTGATCGCCGTTTCGTGCAAATGTCTCGAGAATATGGTCGCGCGAAATGCGAATCTGTGTGCCAATCATATTTTCTCATCTCATCGACAATTGTTTGCGTATCCTTCGCTATTTATACGAAGCGAGAAACATATATATATATATATAATAATCGCTCCTGCTCAAGCGACGTTCCTATGTACGCGTCGGCACGCGTGCGTTTGTACCTTTGTACAAAATACCCACGCACACTAAACACGCATTCTCTCGCGCGCGATCAACATTACACATATACACACGGTGCAGTGTCGCGAAAAAGTACTCGTGAGGGGGATACGCGAAACGTGTTGTTGGAAAATCTCTCCATGCGTATAAATGTATATAATGCGAGAGAGATTTTACGATACCACCCGGTATATAAATATATATATATATATATATATATATATATATATATATATATATATAATGCGTATCTCGGATGCGAGGATGGATGACTCGATGATGTAATTTACATCTGGTATATAATGTTAACGTTAATCACGAATAAACCTAGGTACATCGGGATTGTGGACGCGAGATATGACACGGTTACGTGTGTCGCCAGTTACGTAATTAATCGAGTACGTAATTAATACCGACGTATGATTTCGATTCATTATTCGAGTACTTTTGATACGAGGATTTGCGCTGATCTCGATTTAAATAAAGGCCGATTACGCGAGCGATTGCACCGATAAACTGTGCACGATTTCTGGTTTTTCCTGTGTGCGCGACAACAGAAAAAAAGACGAACGACGTCAAAGTGTCTCTTAATAATTATGACGAATTTAAAAGCATTTTCCTCTCATAGATGTTGACGAAAAAAAAGCATGTGTATATCTGTATAATTTCTCGCGTTACCCGGCACTTTTTGAGTGAAGGAGGAGAAAAAAAGACGAGTAGCGAGAGTAGGTGATTCGCGGTGATATTTTTTTACCTTTATAGTTGATTCTCCGCGCGCACGATTCGATCTCGATCGTGTAATTAATGTATAAAAATTGCCTCCCGCGAATCTAAAAGAAAACGCAAGAAACGATAAAACACAACGCAACGTAAACGTGAGCGCGCGGAAACGATATTATATCGAAATAGATCGCATATTTTTTTGTTAGGCTTATATAACGCATATCTAAGAGCGCTGAAACGTCTACGACCTGAGGAAAATCATGGTAATTCGAAGGGTTGTTGTAATTCATGTATAGAATTCGCGCGAGACATTCATATACCTCCGACATTTTAACGCAGTTTGAATAAAACAAATCGGAATTTAGATAGGATCCAGGTAGTAAACGAATATGACGTCATTTTGACATTTAATGACGTCAGTCGCTGCTACTTGGAGTTTTGGGATTATATCAAGGAAATCGTCGATTATATACCTTTTTGGAGGAGTATTATTGTAATCAAATGGTTGAGAGAGAGAGAGAGAGAGAATCTTATCTAAAAAATAGGATTCATTTTCCTTTTGCGCGCGGTACAAATTACATTAGAATATTTATTACACATTCCTCGGAAAGTAATTGCTAAAGTGTAAGATTATTAATATGGCAATTTTTAACATGGCAAGAACTTATTTTAACAATGTTAAATAAGGAGTGTGAGTATAAAGTGTGTTATATCTTGTTACATAAGAATTCGCGTCCCTCGAGGAGTCAGAAACGACGTGACAGCTTGAGAGGATACGTTCTAAATACAGTCTGTCTTCTATTGAGAAATAAAAATCCTCAAGTGTACAAAAAAAGCGATCTATGCTCTTGTAAATTTTTCAATTATTCATTTCAACAGCGGAGCATATCTTCAAATTTTGGCCTTGCGGAATTCATTAATTTCGATATTTATCGTAAAAGATCGCGTTAACAGAAATGTTGATAATTGTTTAATAAAATATAGCGCAGAACTGCTGGCGAAAAACCGCTACGCACTAAGTTACGATGATTATAACTGCCTCTCTTCCTGATTTCAATTTGTATTTCCGTAGTATATCACGTCGAGACATAATGTGACACGTTGCGCAATGAAAGAAAAAAAAAGAAAACTTTCCTTCATCGAAAATGCGTTAAAATGTACAAAGCGAATATATTTCACGATCGTGTGTTAAAATGTAAGAGATTTAGGTATTTTTCAAGGGAAATCTTAAACACATATATAGCGCATGTACCTGGGTACCCTCTTACGACACTGCACACTCATACATATAGTTATATATATATATATACACTTGGAATATATATATATATATATATATATATATATATATATATACATATATATATATATACGCGTACGATGCGTGCTATTTATCTCAAAAACGAATGTTCTCGCATACAAGCGTATACCGGAGATAAACGAAACGATGTACGACCTTTTTTTAATCGTAGATTATTGTAAACACCGATGTAATCAGTCTATGTTTATATACGTGTTTTATATTAATGAAGAATTTACGATTCGAAGAGTAAAATGTATAAGACGCCAAAGAGACAGTGGTGAAGAAGATTTAAAACAAAAAAATAAGAAAAGAAACAAAAGAGACGAACGCGAGCGTGTAGAAAATTGTGTAACGCGATACCGATATAGAGAATTTGGAAGAATATACTCCGTTGTCTGTGACAAAACTCATGTCTTAGAGAGAGAGAGAGAGAGAGAGAGAGAGAGAGAGAGAGAGAGAGAGAGAGAGAGAGAGAGAGAGAGAGAGAGAGTGTGTGTATGACACTATATCTGAACACCTGTTTTGTGTTCGATCCTCTCGACTTGGACCCCTTTAGGTGAGCCCTATATTTTATCTTCTTTTCTAATTTTTCTAAATTCTTACATAAAAAGTTTTTATTTTATTAAGAAGCTAATAGGTATCTTCGACATTCTCTAGTAAGCTTTTACACTACGTCCCTCTATATACCCTTAGCTCCCATACAGCACACAAGTTTGCAGCAATATTGCAACAACATTGCAATATTGCAGAAATATATATTATATAGGTATGAATTTGCAACATAGTAACAACGTTGCAGCAACATTTGAGAAATATGAAAATAAAATTCACGCAAAAAATATTAGGTACAGAAAATTCAGCCCGATCATGTATTTGGCACATTCCCAAGAATCCAATAGTAATATTACATATATATTTTATTGCATTATTGTTGCAATGTTATAGATCAATATTTCTGAAAGCGGACATTTTACCGTTGCTGCAACATTTCACAATGTTTATGCAATGTTGTAATATTGCAATAAAATGTTGCCACAATGCTGCTGCAATCTTGTTGTGCTGTACGGGCTCATTTCGAGAAATCCTTGCTATCGTTCTCCGCAGATTGTCCCTTTCTACGTGGTAACTGTAGCGTGATGGGTTGCACCGTGTCCTGATGCGGTTTCCTAGGCTGGACTACGGGCTGATTGGCGGCGGTGGTGGCGACGGTGCCGCGATGGAAGGTGATCTTCAGGTTGGGCACGTGCTGCTCGGTGCCGGCCCAGTCGAAGTTGAAGATGGGCGCCTCCGAGTGGCCGAGGGTGTCGGAATCGGGCGTGTTGACCGGCGTGGTCGGCGTGGTGATGTACGGGCTGAGTTCCTGGTGCACCATGTCCGGCACCCTCTGCAGCGCGTCCGACCAGGCCGGGCTGGCGCCCCAGTTCTCCAAGGAGACGGTGTCCGGCGGCGGCGGCACCGCCGACTCGGCCGTCAGCGACGGCGTCGACGGCGCGAGCAACGCCTTCGTCGACGGCCGCTTGCCGTGCAGGTTGCCGCCGCGTTCCGGGCCGCAGCAGTAGTCCCGATCGAGGTCGGTAAGGTAATACTTGGCGCCGGGCATCGACAGCACGTCCGCGCAGCCGCCGCCGACGTATTGTCCGCACTGCACGAACTTGGCCCGATAGCCGGCCAGATGCAGCGAGCTCTTGTGGTACTGCTTGTGGTGGTACCTGACCGGATCGTCCAGGGTGTGCTGTTGCTGATGATGATGATGATGATGATGATCGGTGACCTGCACGTTCCTACCCTCTTGCTGATCCGCGCTGCTTATCGACATGTCTACCGGCTCCGTGTCGTCTCGCAGAAGTCGCCTGCCGGGATAATCCATCTGCGCGTTCTTCGAGGCGATGTGCGACTCCGTTTCGGTCCGATCCGGACGAAGGGATGGCGAATGCTGAGCGTCGCCATCGTTGGAATAGGTCCGAATGTATTCTTGGGTTTGATTAGCAGCCTGACCCGTGGAAGGGTAGGCAATGCCGCGACCTTGACCTCCGGGGCAGAGTCCGTAGGTGAATTTAGTCTGAGAGGAATACTGGTACAGCCACGAACTGGAGCGCATTACTTCCGCCTCCTTGTCGCTGTAATTATTTATGCTTATGCATGTATGAGGTAATCGAAGTAATCGCGTAAATTAAATTATTATTAATTATCTAATTTGATATTAAATTTAATAATTTAGTAGAGAGATATAATTTTATACGCATTTTGTTAGTGAAGAGATGAAAGAGATAATTGTGCACAAACAACCGCGTAAACATACGTGAGCACTTGATTCGTGCAAACAATGATAGGATGCTGGCACTCATCGGAGGTATCCTTGACCTGCAGCACGCAATGTACCCAGAACCACCTCCCAGAGCGGCTCTGCAGCTTCAGGAGAGCGGTAGTGGATCGCTCTTGATCGGACTGAATAACTAAAGTCGTGAATCAGAAATGGAAAAAATTACTTTTCAGAAAAAGTAAAAGAAGGTATTTATTTCAAGCATTTTTATTATCGCAATTTCTCATAAAGAATATACACAAATTTTTTATTGCTCTATTGTCAAGGAAATCTTTTTTAATACGCATACCGGTTTGATGTTTGCAGTAAGCCGTCCTTATGGAGTCCCAATGAAGCAGATTGTACCAGGAGATGTTGAGCAATTCGGCGCGAGTGTACTCCAGATGACTTTCCGCGCTGCGAAGAAGAAGGACGAGTTTTGCGGATAGCCTAATTTCCTTATATTATTTAGGTCTGTCTTTTTCAACTTAACTGGCTGCACTATTTTTATTTCACATTGTAATAAAAAAAAATAAATAAACTTTGAACTAGTGCAGTCAGTTTAGTCATCTTATATTTCTTAAATTATACATATATATCTTATAATGCAGATGTTGAACGTTACGTTTTGTCGATATGCAGATACTTCATGTCCATCGAGTGAATCGTGGTGAAGATGTTGGTCGCGCCCTGGACGATGCTCTCTCGAGTCTCCGGCAGGACCACCGGGGTGCAGGAGGCCAGGAAGACGAACTCGTTGCGGTTGCAGACGGGCACGAACGGCAGGAAGTGACCCTCTACGAGGACTACCTGTTGTGGAAATGGATGAATAATGTGGGAATAATCGGCGGTCGTTTTAATCACCTTTTGATCGCCGAACCGTAGCTGCCTGCGAGAATTCCTCGACACGTTGATTCGACAGAGAAAGAGCCTCCTGTCACTCGGGATCGGACTGTTTCTGGATAATTGATTTTGCACGACTATATGATCCTGCTTGTCGATCACGTCGTACACGCTGTCCCCGTGGATGAGTAGGTCCTCCTGAAAGTGCTTTATCTTATCCACCCAGCAAACACCGATATATAATTGTTACATTGCTATAATAAAACGGAATATAAAAGGTAATATAACGTGTACGTTACATGTAACATCCATGTTAGTTGTAATTTCCCACTCATAGATGTAACATTTTAATATAACATATATATTACATTGTAGTTATATATTGTAATTATATACCAAATAGCACATTGATGTATTGATAAGTCAGTGCTATCTTGGGATATAATGACAATATAACTACAATGTAATATATGTAATATTAAAAATGTTACATCTATGAGTGAGAAATTACAACTAACATATACGTTACATGTAACATGCTTAAGTATATAACATTTATATACTGTGTTTGCTGGGATATTGCGTTATTAACGAAATTACATTACCATGGAATGCCCGAGATAATCCGCCGCATTTTCCGATATGTACAACAATTTTCCCTGCTGCGTCATCATCATGATAAAGCCGGACATCGCCTGGAAAAGAGGCACGAACTGTGATCCCACGGATGGATCCCGAGAGGTAGTAAATACAAGACAAATATAAAGAAATTACGATGTCAAAAAGAAAAGAAAAAAAAATAATTTGAAATAATATAAGTATATAAGCAAACTGAAAACGAAATTACTTTCGAGAAGCCTATGTTGGGTGTTGGAATATTCGAGGACTCGGACGGGTAGTTTTTCAGCGCTGAAAAATAAAAAGGGATCAAAGTACCTGAAAAATCAAACGAGACACCGTGTGAAAAAAATAAATTATAATATATATATAATTATAAATGTTACATTGTAACATAACTATATTACATCTATGTTATGTTACTGTAACATTTGTGTTTGCTGAGTATGTTCCGTTGCTGGTACAATTTTTTTTAAAAGAAGACAATATAATGTGTATGTCCGCCGAAGAAAGAGATAAATCGTTATCGATACATAATTTTAATGTGGGTTTACTGCGAGAGCGTTGATAGGGACGAATCGTTATTTCTATTTTTATTTTACGCAACGTAAAAAGAAAAAAACCGTGCGAACGCATTCGATAACGGTTTATCGCGACTATAAAAAAAAAAAAGCTGTTTTTAGCCGCATTTCCGATCGATATCCTGAAAATACATATAATTCGTATTTTGCAGATGTGACCGAGATACCAGAGAGTATTGATTCCTCACATGCTGTTCCTCTTACGCTTCACTGTGTCTCGGACCTTAATCGCTCGCGATCTTCCAGCGGAGAGGTTCGAGAGAGGAAAAAAGGAGGAAGAGAGAGAGAAAGAGAAAGATACCCATTTCAATCTCTGCTTTTTCGCGCGCTCGCCACCCTCCTCGCTCGGGGGTTCCTCGAAAAAGTAAAGGGGAAAGAGGTATGTACCCGCGAACGAAAGGAGGCAGAAGGAGGGTAAGGAAAAATGCGTATGCTAATGCAGCACGGCAGCGTTTACTAACGGCGCTACAAGGGACTATAGTATCCGATATACACCGCGAGACAATGAGCGGGAGAGAAAGAGAGAACCTAAAGAGAGAGAGAGAGAGAGAAAGAGGGACAGCTAGAAAGGGGGAGGATAGGGAGAGGAGCGAGCGGAGAGAAGAAGAACGCGAGAGGGAGGTCGAGGCGAGCGAAGAGAAGAAACTGTGAAGGGAGATAGAGAGAGAGAAAGAGACAAAGAGGGAGAGAAGGGGGAGGAGTGTGGGTTACAGGAGCGTGAGAGTGTTGTTGCAAAGGCCGACAGGTCAGCGGATCACCCGGAACTCGCGCTTAGACTCCGCTGAGTTTGAACGCGCGCCGGCCCGATCTTGCCTTCTTACATCGCTTCGCCTCGCTTTGCTTTGCGCTCGGCTCGGCTCGCCTCGCCTCTCCTCTCTCGTTGTTGGTACCCACCGGGTTTACCGCGTTTTCCCGGCCGTCTTTCTCTTTCTCTCTGTACCTATATCTACGAGAGAAGCCCTCCGCAGTCCTGCCTGGGTTTTACCTGACGAACTCTACTCTCCAGCGACCGAATAGAAATTCTGCTTCGCGCGGATTGTCTGAACGATGAGGCGAGCAGGAATCTCGAAAGCGGCTCTTATCGAAGCGCCTGATTAACGATATATATCAATTCTCATCAGTCAAAAATCTTGACGTCATCGAATGTTCCTTTATTTGCCTTACTCTGTTACTACAAAACAAAATGGACCGTAAATTGAATTTTTTCATTGTAAGCGTGATTTGTATACAATCCCAGCAAATACCGATATATAATTGTTACATTGCTGTAATAAAACGGAATATAACAGGTAATATAACGTGTACGTTACATGTAACATCCATGTTAGTTGTAATTTCCCACTCATAGATGTAACATTTTAATGTAACATATATTACATTGTAGTTATATTGTAATTATATACGAAATGGCACATTGATGTATTGATAAGTCAGTGCTATCTTGGGATATAATGACAATATAACTACAATGTAATATATGTAATATTAAAAATGTTATATCTATGAGTGGGAAATTACAACTAACATACTCGTATACGTTATATGTAACATGCTTAAGTATATAACATTTATATACTGTGTTTGCTGGGTTATATATTATCCCAGCAAACACCGATATATAATTGTTACATTGCTATAATAAAATGGAATATAACAGGTAATATAACGTGCACGTTACATGTAACATCCATGTTAGTTGTAATTTCCCACTCATAGATGTAACATTTTAATATAACATATATTACATTGTAGTTATATTGTAATTATATACGAAATGGCACATTGATGTATTGATAAGTCAGTGCTATCTTGGGATACAATGACAATATAACTACAATGTAATATATATAATATTAAAAATGTTACATCTATGAGTGGGAAATTACAACTAACATATACGTTACATGTAACATGCTTGAGTATATAACATTTATATACTGTGTTTACTGGGTATAGTAGGTATCAAGTTTTTTAATATTTTAAGTCTCGATAAAAAATTGTAATCTCGTTTCTCAGCTAATATTTGTTTATATAGAAATAATCTCGAAACTACTGTGATTTAGCAACAATGATGCTTTCTTTTGTAATCATGTGCCAACAGTACGTTATTTTATCTGTCTCCCTTTCTCTCTCTCTTTCTTTCTCACATCGCATTGTTAAGGCAACTCAAACAAGATTTACTCGCGACTGATATCATTTTACTAACTTTAAATCATATAGTTTTCCATCAGAAAAAGCAGATATTGTTATTAGTAATCACAAAGTTCATTGCGTTCATTATTTGACTTGTCTAATATTATCCCAAGTAAGAAACTGACGTCATTAGACGTCAAAACGACGTTACTTTGACGTCTACTGTCATTCAACGTCAAAATGACGTTCGCTTGCGACTTGGGATATTTCTGTGCTGACAAGAGGCTCCAAAGTATTTTTAATCATTGTAGAAAATTGTTATATAAATATTCCTATGTTACAATAATGTTAATTTGGCTCTTGAAAGTACTTTGCTACGCTCTGTACAATGTGTCCCAATATCATTATATATATAACGCATACCAATGCGTCACTTTGACGTTTACCAATGTCATTCAACGTCAAAAGGACGTATGTTCGCAATCTGGGGTACTTCTATGCTGACAAAAGGCTTAAAAGTATTTTTAATCATCGCAAAAAAAAATATTCCCATTCTACAATATCAAGTAATGCTAATTTGCCGTTGGATCTGCTTTGCTACGGTCTATACAATGTGTCCCAATCATTATACGTACAGCACACAAAGTACCAATGCGCTCTCTGAAATATCAGAGTACAGACAGACGCGGTGAAATTGCATGGCACGAGCGCGCGCGCTTGCCGGCATTGAAGTCTCGGGGCCGATGGATATGAATTACAGTAAAGATATAGTAATCGCGATATACCGCGATGGACTCGCTTTATCGCCTATCGTCATTCTTTATTTTATGGAGCAACAAGTTGTAATGCGGCGAAACGCAACTTGTGCGTGTACATCGTATCGCGCGTTACGTATAGACAGAGTTTCCTCAACATTATCATTTATCATTATATAGGTCCGAACAAAATTCGAATGGAGAATTTCGAGAGACTTGATCGTTCTCTAAATAACATTTCGTCAAAATTTATTTATGCGGGTGTCTATATAATAACGCTAATATTTAATAAACTGTTTTTCGTAGCTGTTTTATTATTAGCGCGATTTATCTTACTTTTTATGCGTCGTGTAAGAAATTTGTGCATAATATTCAACAACTGTAGCTGGTAATATTTCAACTCGGCGGAAAGTTTCCGTATTTATAGCTCAGGAAACTTTGAAAACTCTCGTAAACGTGTAAACATCGTGTTTCATTTTTGACATCCTAAATTGAATCTTTGAACAACTACTTTTTCACCAAGATTTCTGGCTCCCGGGGGAAATTTGTTCGCAACAAACACACATACACAGAGCTTTAAGATTTAAAGTCGCATGCAAGTTTGCCGTTCACGTACCTTGCTGAAAGTAATTGGCTTTTCGCAGGAACACGCAGACCAAGGCCATAAGCTGCAGCTGGGAAAGCCTCTGGCGTGTCGAGGGCGGCAACGGCAGCAAGTCACGTAGATTCGCGATTTCGGCGTTTATCAGGTCCCTTCGTAGTTTGCTGGCGCCTTTCGTAGACTTGCTCGCATCTATCCTTCAAGCACACGCTGACGTCACTTGTGTACGACACGTGCGTGACGCGCCATATGATTTTTGCGCGCGAAAAATCGCTGACGGCACCCACTGGATCCACATCAAGTATTACACCTTGTACTTCGGCGAGAAACACTAAGGTACCCTTCGCGATACCTCCCAGGTAGCAACCGTACGTCATTTTGACGTTTAATGACGTCAGTTTGACATTTAATGACGTCAGTTTGCTACTTGGGCTGCTATGGAAGAGCAATAACTCACCCCCGAATCGACACTACTAGAAAGACCAGCAATGATTGATAGGGGTTCTCCGTTCGGTCAAGCTTTTGTCGGTCGATTCCTCGGGGGTGGTCTTTAACGCGGCTCATTTAATGCATTCGAAGCGGGTGGTCCTCGCCAAAGTACCGGTTGACAAGTGTTAACGGAGAACGACGACGCTGGTCCCATGGCTGTAACTTACCGATTGAACATATTTCGGTGGCCAGGAAGACATCAGTGGTCTATCACCGGTGGACAGCGAGCGGGAGGACATCCGGGTCGGCAGGTACTCGCGAAACTGCGGCTACGATCTAACATCCGGGTCATAACGCGCTACTACACTGAACACGTGGATGAACTGGCGGAGGCTGGTTCTCCTACCACCACCAACAATCGCCTCCTCCTCCTCCTGGCTTCACCACCATCACCTCCTTCATCGTCCACCTACTACTACTTCGTCTTCGCAGACCTCTCTCCCTCTCGCTCCCGCTCGCTTCACCGAGGTCTTTCCTTCGCCTCCTTCTCTCCCTCGCATCGGTTGAAGCTATCTCTCGAACTCGCTTTTACACCCGCTAGATGTATTCACTCGCTCGCTCTTAGGTCACGATCGAGAGTGCGGAGTCCTGGGTCTCTCTACCACCGCCACCATCATCGCCACCACCTCCGCTACCGGTTGCACGTCTCTCTCTCTCTTTCTCTTCTCTGTGTAGATGCGGTTTCTGCGCGGGTTCGCGACCATCGCGTGGCTCGGCTTGGCTTGACTTGAGAAATTTTCGGGAGCTATTATGCAATTCGATCACCAATCCAAGTCCAGGTACTTGGTCACCGACAGAAGGAAGCATATCGGTCGTTATCTGTTTTATGAAGAGTCGCCTGTTGTAAACAATAAAACAAACATATATTAAAATGTATGTTAAATCATATATTAAATTTTTTTAATTAATTTAATTTAAAAATATTATTTAAAGACACAAGATGTGGAAGAAAGGTTTCCAATACTTTCAACCCTTAATTTTATTATATATGTGGACACGTGTGCAATAATTATATTATTATATAGGGAGATTTGATGTATTATTTTTTTTTTAAATTGCTTTTTTTTATCATGTTATGATAGTTATGGAAATATGGATAAAGGAACTTGCAGGAATATCGTGTACAGGATATATATAATTTGATAGATCTAAAACCTCTCGAGGCCGCCGGTCATTGCACTCTAGCGAGTGGAAGCCACCGAGCACCCCCTGGTTTAAATACCGTTGGAACTTTGTCGGCATAAATCCTGGTATTCTCTCTCTTTCTCTCTCTTTCACTCCGTCTCTGTCCTTCTCTTCCTTTTTCTATCGATAATTAACAATTATCAAAGTTTTGAAAGATTCATATAAATTCATTTGAATCTCTACAATTATATAATTATAATTTTGCATAATATAAAAAATGATCATTTTTTCAGAACAAATTTTTATTTCACATATTTTATATGTCAGAATAAACTAAAATGCTTCGACTTGTAAAATTACAATAAAACTTACAAGGAATCGAAGATACATCGTTATCGATTTCGTAACATTGACGACGATTAAAAAATCTCCTGGTCGTTTCTCCACCGACAAAATGCCGGACCGACGTTCGTGACGTCATTCCCTGCCGAATGATTCGTATTTCGCGGCTAGCTTCACTCTCCTCGTCGTGCGATCCTATTGGCCGCAGGAACTGGATTCCCCGGAAAGTCCCTACTCGCCGACCAATCAAATGTCGCGACGCCGCAGTCGACAGATCGTGACGTGGCGATTACTCGAAGCGGTCGAACAGTCGAATCTCGAACGGTGCATCGGACGGAGTGGCTGCGGGACAGATTTCTTGCAATTCCTTGGGCAGTGCGTTCGAAGAGGTTGTGCGGCACTTTCTGAGAAATGACGGCGCACGATCAAATGCGAGCTATGCTCGACCAGTTGATGGGCACCGGACGAAATGGTAGATATTTTGCTTAACGCGTGATTTATTTCGGGGATTGTAAAGCGAGATCCTCGCGAGTTCCAATTAATAACTTCAAGATGGTCAAGCGCGGCCATGTTTGTTGTAATACCGCTATCTTGTGTACATATATATGTATATATGTATGTATATATACACAGCTTTGCTGTTGCAATGTCATTAATCTGGATTACGTTTCTAGGTGAGAATAATAAATTTCAAGTGAAATACTCCGACTCGAAGGTCTGCAAGAGTTTTTTGTTGGCCTGCTGTCCCCATGAAATCCTCTCGTCAACGGTGAGTATATCTCTTGATGCAGTAATTCCCAACACGAATGACACACCATTGGCACTGTGCGCAGAATAATGCACCCTGTATATACTCTTAAATACTTTTTATATATATGGTTTTATTTCTAATATTTTTTTATTGCAGCGAAGAAAGAAAAGATTATTCATTGACTTTTATTCCTTTCTTTTATATATATTTATTTTAATAATTTGCAAAATTGATTCTCACTGGTTGCACGATTTATTGCTCATATGATATCCTTCTGCATTGATACAGTATTATTCTCATGCAATAATAAGTGTGAAGAAAGAAAATTACTTTCAGATTTGAGATTTTTATATGATTTTTTATTATGACTTTAATTTGTATATACATTAATATACTGCAGTAGATGAAATAAATAATGTGTAACAATAGAAATAGATATATAATCATACAATCTTTTATATATTTGTTACAATGAAATTAATTTTAATGTTTATATTACAACAGGATCAATAAAACTAGTATTAAGTGTGGCATATGGAATCGTGTAACCATAATAATTCTCTTGTAGCGTGTATAATAGTAGAATGTGTGAATAGTTGAATGATTATTGTGAATGATTTGATTACTTTCTCATATATATACTTAATAATTATAACAGCTACCACAAAAAATATATGCACAATTAATGCAAACACATTTCATATTATCCAAACGCAAAACAATTAATACACGATGTGTGGGTAGATTATTCTACATTACAGTAAAAAGTGAGTAGAATAAGGATAATTTTTTAACAACATTTTAGTTTCTGAATGAAGAATTGTATTAAATTTTATGCAGCACTTAAATATGCTTATATATTTTAATTAAAGTTTGTTACATAATCATTCATCTGAAAACTCATCTCAATTTTTTTTTAAAGATAATATTATGTTGTTTTTACTGCCCACAGAATTACATCGTGATAAAGTCTGTTTTAACAACGTCAGTTTAACGACTAAATTGATAATAAAAAGTATTTCTCTCTTTTATTATATCACATTGCTATCACAATCATAGCACACTGACTTGTTTAGCCTAACATTACATACACACACACACACACACTACACAATATATGATAACTTTTTACACTATACAGATGTATATTAATTTAAAATTAAGTAGAAAATGTATGTAGAATAGTTAGATCCATTTCGGATGTAGAATCTGAAGAACGTTTTATACCTATTTTTATGTTTTACTACTCGACGAAATATATTTGTGTATAGTGTTGAAGAGCCATGTATCCTAGTAAAACTCAAAAGTATCAAATATGCTGTACAAGTATACTTATAGAATAGTCGAATGGATAGATCTGTGAAATTGATTCGTCGGACTCTCAATTATTCCCTAGCGCTTTTTCGTTTCATCTCGGTGCCAATTGGTGTGTATTCAAGTATATCATAAGTTAAGACTCCATAGTTCGTAAGAACACGTCTTTTATAGAATTTAACGAGCGAAATTATTTAATAAGCGTCCGGAAGAAGGAAAGCGTCAAATTACCTTATTTAATATAACCGACACGTACTTCAAGAATTGATTACGATCAATTCACACTGGATACCGTCGAAGTGCAACACGGGGCAGGCGTTTTTTTTTTTAATTATATTATTACACACATACGAGATCTATGGACCTAGAACAGTCAATGTGCGGCTTGGAAGTAGCAAGAGCAAAGGTAACAAAATACCTTATGTAAGTCTGCGTTTTTATTTCTCTTCCAAGTTGCTTGGATTATAGTCTGTTCTAGTTTCAGGAACGCGTTGTATGTGAATTTTAATTTTTCTCCATATCTACATAAATATACCGAGAGAAAACTGCAACCCCCTATTTACAGCGAAATCGGGGAGCGGGCCACAGATTGTGGCTTTTATAGACGAAGATGTAATAATATTGTGCATATATGCGGTCGATCGAGCAACACTTTTGATCAAATGACAATATGTTTTAATATTATATACGAGCCGCAACTGGCTCTATTCAAGTACTGCTTCGCGCATTTCAGTGTCATCTTGTGCGAATTGGTCACAGGGGTGTTCGCTATCTCTCTCTTCCTCTAGAGGCTCTAGGATTCTCCTGTATGTAGCTGTCTGAACTAGCTTCATTCGAATTTTACAGCAAAATCGATGCTCCGATATACAGGATATCCCAAAATTACCGAATCCTGTTAATGGGGAGATTCCTAAGGTCATTTTTGCCATCAGGTATATTCGTAACACACATGCTTCCTAAAAAACTATTAAATGATTTTATTTTTTCACTTGAAAATTTTAAGATTATTTACATTTGAAAATGTTCCCTTGTAAGCCTAAATTAAAAGTGAAGAATGTGGTTTTCTTAATATTTTAATTGGAATAATTTAATTTTCGTTATTAAAATTTAATTTTAATAACGAAAATTATTGGTGCCTCGACATTGTTGCTGAGGAAAAATCGTCTCCAAATAACCTCAGAGATCTCCCCATTAACAGGGTATGCGGTAACTTTGGGACACCCTGTATAATTCTCAAGTTGTTTTATACTTTGTTATAGTTTATGTACGGACAGAGAAAAGTTTTGATTACTCTTCTCTAGACAGCTACTTATGTGGGAAAGTTTTCTTACTCGGGAAATATGTTGCTCTCTTTAATCTTTAATCAGTTGGTTGTTCTCAATGCCATCTGCAAATATTGGAATTTAAATATGTAAGTAGGTTTCGAGGGCCTGTCACTGACATTGATCGATGTCGAGGGAAATACTTATTGAGTTTACGGAACAATTCTTTGCTACAAAAGAAACAAAGTTTAAAGTTGTTGACTTCGTCTCTGATTAATATATTTTTTCCTTCAGAAAAATATCCCTTATATTTCTACAAAGTCTGTGTCTTGCATTTATCTTTTCAATCGAGATAAAAATCTTATAATTGGATCCTCCATAAATATTAAAGCACGTAGCTTGAATAAAGAAGAAGATTCCCTTTTTAATCTCAATCGATCTAAATTGTCCCCAGATTCAAATTTCAGATAAGATATAAAATAGAAAATTCAACTCGCAAGCGGATTTCATTTAAATTCAATTTAATTAATGTCACTATTCCTTCCTCTTTTCGCAGCAAGATTTATTAAAAGACTTGAAATTCAACGTAGAGAGGGAAAAATGAATGCAACAGCGAGAGATAGCAAACACCCCGAAGGACAGAGTTTCCCTAAAATGAGAAACATTAATAAGATGCAAAAAAGCCAAAAAAGAGAAAAAAAATACTAACGGCAAATCGATCGAAGGTGTACTGATATGCAGATCCACTAATGTCAACGTAACTACAGTTCTATTTCCAGAGTCTCTGGAAAAAGATCCAATCAGATCCATTGTACAATATTGTTGCGAGTATTGTCCGCTCATATGTCCGTGTTGTACTTGTCACTCTCACACGCGCGTTACTGTAAGTACTGAAAACCGAAAAGACGTACGTATTACACCTATACAATTTGATTATCTTTTTTTACCATAATATTCAAGTGCTAGATATACATACACACATATATGCATATCTATATATCTATATCTATATATCTATATATATATTAATTCGAGACGTAAAGGCGGGCGGGCGAAGCTTTACTTCAGCCCCTCTACCGTCGTTTTTTTCTCCACACGGTGGTGAGGCTGAGTAATGCCGAGAATGATAAAAACCCAGACCCCCGAAAAGGCCTGTAAACAGTGAGTCGGTGAGTAGCGTCATGCTGATTCATGAGACGATGTCTTAATGTCGCTTCTTACTAATAATGCCGTTTACGGCAGGTAGGAATGAGAGAAGTTTACTTTGAGAATGTGTGTTGAGAAAAATATGTATCAGCCTGTGGAGGTAATGGGTGCAGGAAATCAAGCAGTGATCTGTAAGTAAGATTTGCGAATTGCCAAGAACCCACTCGCGTCGCTCTATCAATTTCTCCTCGGACGAGAGCTTTTCTCGCATCAGGAATATTAAAAAAAAAAAGGAAAAGAACATTTCCCATCTCGTGATTTTGCAAAGGTACACAGAGAGAATTTTTTCTTAGGATTTATCCTGAAATTTATGGTAATCGTGAGATAATTTGGATAGTGGAAAATTTCTCTGATTTAATATTTACCACAAAATAAAAAATATTAATGGCTACCACAATAAGATATAAAATATGTTGGATTAATTTTATTAAAATATATTTTAGTAAAATTTCAATAATTTTAAAATATATTAAAAACACGATTCTTTAAGTGTTTTAAGTAGAATAGATACCAAAAAGGCGATAAACGTATAAAATATTTTATATAAATAATTTTACAATGCAGCGTAATATTTACAATAATTTTTAATATGTAGCTAATTAATTTTCGGCTTATTACCAAACATAATAAAATTTGTGATGCAAAATTCTCTTCGTGTATACACAAAAGACAACGAGTATGTTTACTTTCCTATAGCAAAAATTTTTTAAAAATTTGTTTATCCATCTTAATTCTTTCGTTAATCTATCCACTTAAAAAAATCGTTTATATTAATTTTTAAACGAGATTTAAATTGGGACGCACGCGATGTGTGTTGATAAAAATTCGTGTTAACTTAAGAACGTTTCTTCGGGGATCGTTTCGCGATATTTGGCAATTTGCAACACCTAAACGTGTCGGCAAGAGAAAATGCGAGAGGTGGCATGACGTGGCAGAGAGACGTGTGATTAGGTGGAGATTAGTACAACAAGCGCCAGAGTTCCATTAGAAAAATTTCCTACCAACCATTGGATGTGTACGTATTGAATCAGTTTCTTTTCTAAAAATCCAAGTTTAGCAGCCAATAAGACGTAAGACACGATTCTCGTGTGCCGTACGTAAAATAGTAATATTAAACCATTATAGGCTGTAAGTTCTCTTTCGTAGAAAGCAAAAAACATATGAACATTATTCAAACTTAAAAGATGTGTGCTGATTATAGCTTCATTGCCGTCGCATTCTCGTGTCAGGCGGAGAAACTGTTGCCACCCTGTAAGTTAAAACAATAAACTATTTATCTGTAAAACAAAAAAAACTGCATTTCCTACTTTATATATACGCGATCGACTGACGATCGGATCGCTTCATTATTGTATATATTCTATCCTAGCTCGTGCAGGAAGACGAACTGACGTCTCTCCGTGAGTTCACGTGTAAAAAATGAGAGAAAGTAAAAAAAAACTTATTGGAACCGTCTTATCCTAAGGATATAGGCGATATATAAGTTCTCAGAATTTTTGTCATGTATCATCTCTATCTCTCTCCTAGATTATCGATTCATGCTAATTTCCATAGTCATAATCGCGACCAAGTACGTTATATATAATTCTTGTCAAGTATATATACTCGTTAAAACCAAGTTGGGAAGAAAAGGGTCTAAACTCTCGTACAATTATGGCATAGAATCGATAAGACCCGTAAACGCGATTGGAGGGATCGTAATCTAATACAGACTGATTTGTGTAAATCGTAGCGCATGGACCTGGGAGAATGCCCCCAGATTCACGACTTGGCCCTACGGGCTGACTACGAGGCCGCGCAAAAGAAGAGGGATCACTTTTACGACATTGATGTGAGTATTTTGCACAAAAAAAAGTTATATTATAATTGCTTAATTTAATCAAAAAAAATTTTGTTCAAACACAAACAATATTTTTTGTATTTTTAATTTAATATGGACAAAAACAAATCGAAAAGTGTTAATAAAGATGGGTCCGCAAATCAACCATTTTCGAGATTTTAATTTTTTTATATATTTTTATTCTATAATTTTTATATTTTATTTTAAATGTTTATTATTATTATTTTTTAAATTTTTTATTATTTTATTTGTGTGAATGTAGATAAATTAAGTAAAGTTAGATGAGACATTACACGATGAGAATTTTCTCTTAGAATTTACAGTGAAAATTATGATAATCGTGGGATGATATGATGTTGGAAGAATTTTATGAGTTTCTCTGATTAATATTTACCACAATAAAAAATATTGATATGTACATAGTAAAATTAATGGAACATATTTTATATCTTACTGTGGTAGATATTAATATTTTTTATCGTGGTAAATATTTAATCAGAGAACAGCTCAAAACCCCCTCATTATACCGCGGATCCATGTTTATTAAGACTTTAAATTATTTTGAAGCATATAATGAATCCCCCTTAAAATATTTTCTTTTTTTTTTCAACACTGTATAATTATTAATAATTTTAAATGATGAATCTAATATGTATTGCGTATCTGATGTTTCCCATAATCAAACACAGTTATCGCATGAAATGGTATTGATGATAAAATGTTTATTCGTTTTATTACGATTGTAATTTTAATCCTTCTTGAATTTTGTCTAGGCAATGGAACATCTTCAAAACTTCATCGCCGACTGTGATCGCCGTACGGAACAGGCGAAGCAGCGACTGGCGGAGACGCAGGAGGAGCTGAGCGCGGAAGTGGCGGCGAAGGCGAACAACGTCCACGTGCTCGCCGAGGAGATCGGTAAGAAATTAGCAAAGGCCGAACAGTTAGGCGAGGAAGGCTTTGTCGAGGAATCGATGAAGCTGATGGGCGAGATCGACGAGTTGCGTAAAAAGAAGAACGAGGCGGAGCAAGAGTATCGAAACAGCATGCCGGCCTCGAGCTACCAGCAGCAAAAGCTGAGAGTGTGCGAGGTGTGCAGCGCCTATCTTGGCATTCACGATAACGATAGACGGCTGGCCGATCACTTCGGCGGAAAGTTGCATCTCGGCTTTATCAAGATCCGCGAAAAGCTCGCCGAGCTGCAGAAGACCGTCGAGGAGAGGCGCAAGGAGAAGCGCGAGTCCATCGACAGGAGACGGGACAGAGACAGGGAGGACCGTGACAAGGACCGTGATAGGGATCGGAACCGCGGATTGGGCTTCAGAGACCGCGACAGAGACCGCGAGCGTGACCGTGACCGCGACCGTGAGCGCGACCGTGACCGTGATCGCGAGCGCGATCGGGATCGCGAGCGCGATCGGGATCGTGATCGCGAGCGTGATCGCGATCGGGAGCGCAGGGACAGGGACAGGAGAAAGTCACGATCACGTAGTCGCAGTCGTGGAAAAAGGTATGTCAATTATCATTATTAATTATCCATTTATTGATTCTTATACTTTTTGAGGAACTAAAGAAAATACAAAGCCACAGAGAGATATTTGATACTTGAGGTTCTTGGCTCCTCGCCGACTGTGTTATATTATGACGTCAGAGGCGAGAAAACATACGCTAGAGATTCTCTTAGATGTCATCTTGAAATAAAAAGCTATTTCGGTAAAACAGCACTTCGGATGGCTTCGCACACACTTAAAATACCTCAAAGACTATCCTTTTTCCTTTATAATGAAGCAATAATTGTAAAATGACTGTAATATGAGATCCATTCTATCTGTCTGCGTAATCATTCCGCATGACAAAATCAAATATTACAATCATTTTACGGTTGTTGATTGACTATTTTAAAAATGTGCTAAAACCATTTGAAACAACGTTTCAACGAAATACCTATCTTTTCATTTAAAAATGGCCTCTTTAAGAATTTTCAGCTTATGTTTTCTTGTCTCTGACGTCACAATCTAACATGGCCGAGGCTCCAGGAGTCTTAAACATGTTTCATCCACGAAATTAAAACATTTAAATTAAATTAACATTTAACATTTGCAATATTTAAAGAATCATAAGTTTTTAACATGGTTTTTAACATATTTTAAAATTATAGAAATTTTACTATATATTTTAGTAAAATTAATCAAATATATTGAATATTTTATTTTAATAGATATTCATATTTTTTATTGTGATAAATATTAATCAGAGGAACTGATAAAATTCTTTCAATAACATGTTGCCTCACGACTATCATGATTTTCAGGATAAATTTTAAGAGAAAGTTCTCTCTGTATGATAATAAAAGAGATACGAAAATAATTTATATGAAAAATATAAAAATTATAGTAAAGAATAAAGAAAGAATAAATTATTGTGATACACTACAAAAGATTGAAAAGTGTTTTTATTTACGCAAAGAATTTGAGAAAATTGCCTTTATGAAAAAATGATGTTTCTTATAAAATAAACGAAATTGTTTTCAATGTGCTCTATTACAGATCAAAACGTTCTCGCAGTGGTAGCCACAGCCGTCGATCTCGTTCTCGTCGCAGTGGATCTAATGATCGTAAGAGATAAGAGACAGTATAAAAGTTATGCTCAATCATTTATTTTCTGTCCTATACGCGCATTTTTTCTACATATAATGTGTGGGAACATTTTATATGTACGAAACTTTGCGCTGGGTCGTCTATAGCAAATGTGATGTTCTGTATTGACGTCAAACTTTGTACATTACTCGTCACACCTAATTGATATTGATACTATTTATGCTGAATCTACTCTTATCTTAAACTTTATTTAGATACTAATCTATGTATCATCTCTATATTTTGGCTTTTAAAATAGTTTTAATCCATTGTAAATAAGAATATAGCTTAAGTATGATTCGTATTGGCAGTTGTTATATGTTTATCATAATACTTGAGCATATGTAATAATAGTGATGATATAAATAATTACGTTACATTATTCATCATCCTATCCCGATCGCAAAGTGTAACGTTTCTGAGAAATACTTGCTTGAAAGAACAATAAAAGTATAAATAAAAAAATTTTTGGGAATATATAATTTGATTTTTGAAGAAAAAAAAATGAAAATTGTTTTAATCATTTTCAAAAAATTCATAAAAATTATGAAAAATCGTCAAAATTCTCAAAAAAACATATTTCGACAAAAAAGTACATCAAACTGAAAGCTGCGAATTCATATTCGGGATTGACTTTAAACTTTGATTTCTCGAGGGTATTAAAAGATGCATATTCTGATTCTCTCGCATCAATGGAAGATAAAATGAAATATAAATCTGGTTATTGAATGGATGCATTTCAAAATGATGATTGGAATAGTGTTTAATGAGTCAGGTTTTTTTAAAATACCAGAATATTTTATTAATCTCGTAATAATTAAACTTCTCATATAATTTATTATACATTCGAAATCTCTCGAGACATATTACATTGAACATATATAGACTAGAAAAATAATGTTTTACACATCTTATGTACACAAGATTAAATTTTCGCAATAAAAATTTCTACCAAAAGAATTCTTATACAATGAAAAATACTCTCTCTTTCTCTAAAAAACCAGACACCATCATATATTAACAGAGTGTCGATATGATAGATAATAGTGCTCATACAAAATATTCGGTAAAATTTAAGATTGTAATAGTTTCTATACAAAAACAATTTGTGGCAGTTGCCAATTTTCAATCACCTTTAGTATTCGTTTGTTCTCTGAAAGTAGGAGAACTCTCTTCATCTTCAATCACAATTTAGAAGACGTTAAATTTACAAGTTTATTTAAATAATCGATTGTAATCGATTATATATATATAACCAATTGTTATAACAGTCTTCTGTGTTTTTAGCACGATGAATAATTTAATAAACATATATATATGTATATATATAATTATATTATACTAAAAAATAAATTATATATTATATAATAAATATAAATTTATATGTCGAAAAATTAAGTTTATCAGCTTATATTATATAAAAATTGGCAGATAGATTTGATGAGTGCAGCATTATAATATAATAGTCAATTATTTACTGATATTTTATAATCAGAACTAATAATTTAGATAAAGAGAAATTATTATTTTAAGTAAGGAACATGATTATGCGGTATAGTTTGTAAATTTTTTACAATAATTAATAATTAAAACAATATTTTAAAATCATGAAATAAATTACACGTAATATTAAAAAATTATATTTTCAAAATAAAAAAACATTACACATTCAATAACAATACACTTTTAAATATTACAGCCCTTTTTATCGTAAAAAAAAAATAAATAAAACTTTACGTACGAATCACAATAAAATATCTAGCATACAAAACTATCGAGTATTTGTATAAAATATGACTAATTTGTATACCTCTGTGATTATGAAATTGGCAGCCACCATGGGTATTTATATCTAGAGTATCGAAGAATAAAGACAAGAAAAACAAACAGAAGTAGATAGAATTCGTAAACAAGGAACAAGATGACTAATTACGATCTGATATTCAACGATTATTACTGAACAGTCTTAAAAGTCTTATCGAGGTCATTTGACGATTCATTTCAAATTCTAGCTCGAAGAACAAGAGCGGCAACTACAGAATCATCAATAGAGTCACCCTTGTGTGTTTTTTTTTCGCTATTATATTACTTACTCTTTACTTTAGTTATTCATCGCTGTCGATATGAACTGCTTCCGTAGCTACTTCGGGAGGCGGGGGAGGTAAAGCATTATTACTACCTTCCGACGATGTCGACGAATGCCCTCGTAGTGTTGGCGATTTCGGAGATTTGTCGTCAAATTGTGCCGGACATTCAAAGTGAACACAATGAAACACCTGAAAACGTTTAAAAGATTTTTAATATACATACATACATACATACATACATACATACTACATACTACATGCATACATACATATATATATATATATATATATATATATGTATACATCTTTAATTTATTAATTAAAATTAATTAATTTTATAATTAAAAATTAATTATATATATGTATATGTATACAAAAAATATATAAAAAAATGGTGTCGAATTAGATTATAATATAGACCTCGTTTGCAGTATTGTGAGTCCCCACTACGCGTATAAAAACTACTGGACGGGGTGGATAAAAGTTTATTGTTTGCCAAGATCGACACGACTCCCTTCTTTTATCAGCGACCATTACCCAGTTCCAAGAATTGCCTGATACTTCTACGGTGTACGAATAGGAGCGATTATCGCAATCCCAAAGTAATAATCTATGCAAAAATATTTACAGGAATGTTATACTTCAATATAGCATTTCATATTAAAATATTAAGTTTGTTTTAGAAAGTATTTAAAAATCATACCGCATAGAATCGATCATATATGGTTGACCTAATTGCACCAGAATAGATCCAGAGCCAAGTTGGTGACATGTATAACCACTATCCCAATCGTAATTAGTTATGTCTCCGTTTAATAAATTATTACGAGACCTAATTAAAAGAGAGGAAAGTTTAAAAATATGTATATTAGGTAGGCACGATTTTATTAAAGTACAGTAAATTTTATATACCTGCTCACACCTTCGATGACACATGCACTTTTTTTTGTAATAGCAATATTTTGTGTTGGTACAATAAAACCTTTGGAAAGTTGCTCTGTATGATTTGTATAGTATGCTTCAAAACTGACAACATGAAAAACCTATTGAATAAAATAAATATTAAATTATTGTAAAGAGTAAACTAAGCTAAAAGTTTTTATTAACGTGAAAAATTAAATAAAGTTATAGTTTCATTAAATTCTAACATACATAAGGCATGTCAATTTTCAGTAAACTCACCTTATTAACTGTATTATTTGTTCCTACAATACGAATATAAAGAACCACTCTTGGTTGAAAATATAAATACTGCCAACTGCGACAAAAATATTCTGTATAATCAACAAGCTTGACCCAATTTTTTTGATCCACAGATGCCTGTAACAAATATTACAATAAAGTAACGGGAGATAAAGAATCCCTTTGTTCAGATTACATAATTTTCTAAAGTTCTTACACACATCTACTACATTATACTTTGTCACATAAAATGTTTATACCTCTATGTAATAAGAATAAGAGCGCATATCTCGATCCCATAGTAACATTTTCACATGATTTATGATATATTGTGTCCCCAACTTTATTAGAATCCCGTGTTCTTGCGTGTCGCTTATGGTATGCCTCGTATAACCATGTTCCATGTCATAGTCATTGATTTCTCCATTAAGTAAATAGGTACGCATTTCCCCCTGTAACACCTGGGCACCGTGCTTAGGATGGGCAATGTTTTCGTCGACGAGCCTACGACCACGGTAGGGTAGTTCTGACTTGGACTTTATATACAGTACAGTAAACACGTCTACAAGTGTGCTGTCTGATATTAAGTTGGTTGATCTTACGACAGTTACGAGATCTACTTCCGAAATCAGAGTCAATCTTAATTGCGCTGCAAGTATAAAAGTTAATCAAGAGTATACAAAAATACATATCGTACAAGTGCTGACAATATTTATTGTTCAATATATGAGAAATATTAATATATTTCCCTAGGAATATTAATAATTACCCTATAATAATTACCTATAACTTTACTTTTATCAGCTTCCGGATTGGCTTTGACCCACAAGTCTACGGCTAAAAAAATGTCTATTTCTGGTGCATAGAACGAATCCCTGGAAATTACTTCACTTAAAGTTGAGTCCCTCAAGTGTCGAAAACTCTCGTGCTGAATAACTTCAGATGCATATTTATCCATGTATTCAAAGCAAACCTGATATTAAAATCTGCATTAATTGTCATATATGATAGACATTAATTGTACATACAAATTTTGTGTTATTCAAGATAGCCACAGAGTAAAAGTGAATATATAATACTAACGCTACTTAGAAAATCCAATTGATAGAAAAGTGCAGTGTCTAAAATCGAGCATATATTGTTTATGCTTAATATTTCTCTGAGATAATCAGATATAGCAGCTTCGAGGTCCATAAATCCATACATATGTGCTAATGCCAGAATATCGAGTATCGTCTGTAACAAAGTAAATGAAAATGAGGTGAAACCAGACGATCGACAGATGTATACCCACTTTATTGATAATTTGAAGAAGCAGTTACCTCGTCGCGTTCATTAGCCAGAGACATACGACCGGTGTATATGTACTTGAGCAAGCTTTTAAATGCAGGCAACGAGGAGGCTTTCAGTTCTATCTCATCTTGTACAGATTCCCTCATACCACTGTTCAGCATTGCTCGAAAATACTCGCTACGTGCGGCGAGGACGAGTTTGTGGCTGGGAAGTTTGTGTCCCGCCACGATGATCTTCACATCCGAAAAGTCTTCGGACAGATACAAATTTCCGATGCCCTCGGAGACGACGTGAATGTGATCTATTTCACCGGATGATGAATTCAAATGATGATGCGAGCTCATATTCTCTACCAGATACCGTTCTTCTATTTACATTCAGACTCTTGCTACAGTCGGAGTTTCGACTGTCAAAACATTAGCAATTTGTCACTCGGAGCATTTACACAACTTTGACACTTCAATTTTTGTCTCTCTTTAGAATCTCGCGGAAGAAAAGTATCGATTAAAGTTCTTGCAAGAGCCAGGTGAAGGAAGAAAGGGAGCTTTGTTTTCCTTGCATCGCGCGACAGGATAGGATACAGCAGCAACCTTGATCGATGAAATTGACAAGAAAAACGAGCGTGTCACGCGAAAATTATTCGATTCTGCGCGATATCGAGTCGCTCCTCGAGCGATCGCGACTCCTGCACGTCCCGGACCTCTTGTTTATTTGCGTAGAACGCGTAAAAAAGAAATCCCGACCGTTTCCATCGTCAGGTTGTTGTCACCGATACCGTCACTGATTCAGCATCGTACTATTGAATTTTTCAAGACTCTTCGAGGCCGCATGTCACGTACACGATCACCCCGGCGTCATCCGAAGTCAGCGCCATTCACGGATCCACAGATGTACTTCGAAGAACAAATTTTTTTTAATATTTTATATATTGTATATATTATATTATTATATATTGCATATTACATTATATATTATATATTTTATATTTATATTATATTATATATATAATATATAATATAATATAATATGTAATAATATATATTAATTAAAATAAATAATATATACATATATATATATATAATATAAAAATAATTTACGAACTGATTTGTTAGCGAGTGTCGGTAAGGTGGATTTTGACGTTTGACCGACCGCGTCGGTCACGTGACGCGCGGCGCCATGGAAACGCGCCTGCCGCGCGACGTCACGAGCGCCGCGTAGCGGCGCGCAGCTGTCAACTCGACTCGGCGCGGCCGCTCAGTCGGAGAGGGAACGTCGAACAGCGCGCATCGCCACGGAGCAGGAGGCGGAGAGGGCGGCGGCGGCGAGCCAGTGGCGCGAAGTCCCCCGTACGCGTAATGCTGCCGCAGTCGCTGCCGGAGCAAGAGGAGCGATTCTTTCCCGCGACGAGCTAGGCTCATTCGCGGCGGCGACGAGGACGACTAGGAGGATTCTTGACACGAGGAAACAGCACGCGCGATGCTGTACGACGCGAGGTTGCGGCGCGCGACGCCGAAAAACGACGACGCGCCGGCGACGCGCCGCTGATCCGCTTGAGACGCGAAGAGAGAGCAGCAACAGTTCCAACGGGGCGATCCGGCTGGCCGGCCGGCCTCGTCGCGACCGAATCGTCGGCTCCCACGCGCCGGAGAACCACGTGAGTGCACTTTTCAAGTATACGCATGCAGTACGTTTCTTTTCTCTCTTTGATAGGTTTCCATATTTTATTGTACCTGATATTTGATTCCCGAATTTGATATGTTTTCATATTTTATTGTACCTGATATTTGATTTTCGAATAGAAAAAGTGCAGCCAAAGAGCTGCCGATTTTTTGTGGGTGGAGAAACATTTCTACACCTGTTATTACATATGCGAATGAAGGTGTAGAAAAATTTGAATTTCGCGCATCAGTCTCATATAATTATACGAGTCCCTCAGAAGTCAATTTTGCTTCCTTTATGGTTTTTTTTTAATTTCTTCAATTTTAGTAAGGAAATGAATGATAAAGGTTCATATATATACACGGAGAGAATTTTCTCTTCAAATTTATCCGGAAAATCATGGTACGTGGGACAATGTGGTGTTGGAAGAATTTGATGAGTTTTATCACGATAAAAAATATTAATATCCATCACAATGAGATATAAAATATGTTCGATTATATTTACTATGTATGTACATAGTAAAATTAATCGAATATATTTTATATTTTATTGTTATATTGATATTTTTTATTATGATAGATATACTAAAATATTTTTATTGTGGTATAAATATTAATTAGAAGAAACTTATAAAATTCTTAAAATTTCTAAAATTTTACTATGCACACATTAAAATTAATCGAATATATTTTATATTTTATTATGATATATTCATATTTTTTATTGTGACAAATATTAATTAAATTAAGAAAATGTAAAATTCTTCCAATATATGTATATATAATAAAATTATTTATGTACATAATAAAATTAATCAAACAGATTTGTATATTTTATTGTAATTAAACAATTTTATTGTAATTAAAATTAATAGATATTAATATTTTTTATTGTGATAAAAATTAACCAGAGAAACATTAAATTCTTTTAATATCACATTGTCCCACGCGATTATTATGATTTTCAGGGTAAATTCTAAGAAAAAATTCTCTCTGTGTAGGCGCATTATGTAATTTCGAATTCTTAACAAAAATACAAAGGATCGAAGTCAAACGTGTATGAATCCTTTTTTTCTATATGTAAATGCACACTATAGCACTGTCTTGTTTAAATTTGAATTTGAATCACTAATTAAATGTAAATTTGAAATTACTTTAAGAAGTAGGAAAAAAACAGAATAAATGTACATATAATTAACCAGGTGAGGAATATTTCCGTCCTCTTATCTAAATTCGGCCGAGTTTCTACTATGCAAGTAGAAAAACGTAGCAATTGGCAGACGGAGATCATTGCGCTTACTCCTTACAAAATATTCCCAAGTGCGTTTAATCTGTCAAATGAAGCGTCTGTAATTAATGTATAAAATTAACCCATTAATTTAAAGTTTTCGAAATTTGAGCTTGATACAAAATTTTTGCAACTATTAAACTATTATTATCGACTATAGCGAGATCGACCGAGGAAATTTAGCTCGAATATCCGCTGCATATGTTAATTTAATAATAAGCTGGATATTCTGATTGTGCATAGTAATACAGATTATTGAGTACTGACAATGAATATTGAATACATAATACAGAATATTAAGTAATACAGAATATTGAACAAGCGAGACTGCATAATTGGAAATTTATTCTGCTCGTTTTGATTTCGCATTTCCTTCGAAAAAAAAAAAAAAAAAAAAAAATTAGGTTCTATTTCCGTAGAACAAGTTTTGTTTTATCAGAACTTTTATTGAAGATGTAAGTTACAACGAGGGAGAAAACTGTTTTCCAAGTTTACTTATTAAACTCCAAATTATATTTATACCGGAGGGGGAGAATATAAATTAGGCAAATAACAATTTAATAGAGAAAAAATAAGAGAAAAGATATATACAATATATATATGTATACAGGTTAAAATAATTGCGCGCAACTTGTGTAAATCAAAATTTGACAAATATTGATTATACGCGGATATGAGATTGCACATCGAGCGAAATATCAATATTTGTTATTTATATGGAACATAATTAGCTCGGGTAAATTGTAATCGAGTGTGTAAAATGCTTGTATTATACGCTATATCGTGTTTAACAATGTCGAGCAAACAAATGCACGGTGAAAAAACTATCTATACCTATTTGCGTTGACACGTGTTTTATCGAGAGAGAAAATAAAAGAATTTGTTTCGTCGAATTTATTCGACAATTATTAGCTTTTTGTATTTTTATCACGCAGTTGCGAAAAATTTATTTCTCATCAAAAACGGTTCTCGTTAAAATTTTTGTGTTAAAATTTAACTTATTCATGGGATAATTTAATATATACAATATGCATCTATTTTTAATTTTACACAATAAATATGTTCCGTATTATTAGTGACAAAATTCATCTGTTAAAATTTATAGAAAAAAAATGTTGATATTATTTTATAATATAAGTAAGAACGATAAAATGTAAAATTAACATTTTTTAAGTAATTTTTACATTAAAATTATGTTAATTTTACAAAATTTATTCCAAGATTATTTGAAATTTGCATTTATTTTACGTTAAAATATTAACACAGTATTCGTGTCATTATTTAACATATCCGTATCATGTTAAATTAATACAAAAATTTCTGTGGATCGTTGGGACATACTTGTTAAATTTAATACAAATTTTTCAACTGCGTGTTTCGGTCTCGCAAAATAAGCATATATACATAAATTGCGCGAATATTTAACACATTAAATATTTAACATATATTCATGGGTTAAGTTAATATATTACAATATGCATTTATTTTTAATTTTACACAATAAATACGTTCCGTATTATTAGTGACAAAATTTATCTGTTAAAATTTATAGAAAAAAAGTTGATATTATTTTATAATATAAGTGAGGATGATAAAATGTGAAATTAACATTTTTTAAATTAATTTTTACAATAAATTATGTTAATTTTACAAAATTTATTTCAAGATTACTTGAAATTGCATTTATTTTAACAGTATTCGTGTCACTATTTAACATATCTGTATTACGTTAAATTATTAAAAAAATTTCTAATCGTTTCTGATCGTTTGGGACATACTTGTTAAATTGAATACAAATTTTTCGGTCTCGCAATATAAGCACATACATAAATTGCGCGAATAACTACAAGCCGCAGCGAATACCAAGGAGAGATTGTCGCGTAAGAAAATTAAAGCGGACATTATAAGCTCCCGTAGCAGGAGACACGGATTCAAGAAGCTTTATAGTTGCTTATATAGTTGCACGCGCGGGTAGAGTTGCTATTTCGACAAAATAACACGCGAGTATATATCTTGGCGAAAAGTAACTCAAATATAGAAGTTTGATGTAGAGATAACGATGTGTGGAAGAGTTTATGATACTATACGATAGTTCGGAGAAACTTTTCTTTAAGCTTTTTCTTTTGTTATACCTTAAAAGAAACTCGAAATCCCGCTTTGTACTCGAGAATACAAGGTACCTTTGTACAGTAAAGTAGAAAGAGCACTTGTGACCATTGTATATATATAGTTACGAGGAATGGACCGATGATGAGTTAATCCTTTAAGGACATTACGTCGTAAGCTTCATCGTCGCAATCCTTTGGTAAATTCGTTATAATTTCTTGGAACGAATCTCTTCTTAATTTGATAAGACTTTCAAGTATAATTATCGATATTGTTTTAAGAATTTCTTTCCCCTGAGATGTTCCTTGCTATTTTCATATACGGGGTGTTTCAGGAGGTTCGTACACTGAAAAAAATATTTATGTAAAATTACGTGGTTATACTAATATTGCTACTTATATGGAAAATTACAGATTATATGTAATTTCATATGAAATATATTCTTAAATATTTTCAAGATTCAAAATATTTCACTGAACATGGAATTGCTATAAAATAATGTTATAAATAAAATGGATAAATACTTATGAAATAAAGTTCTAATGAAGTAAAAATAGTACATTTAAAATTACATATAATTTTTGCATAAAAATAGTAATTTTACCTATATTTTATATATATTTTTACATATTAATATGTATTTTCACTTTTAAAAGAATGAAAAAATAAATTACAATGATAAGCAAGTAATTTTCCAATTCTTAACAAGTAATTTCCATGTAAAAATAGATGCATTTTTTTCAGTGTATTCTAGGATATAATTGTACACGTCAATTTAAGCAAAAAAGTTTATATGTATAAATATGTCTTATTTTAGATGGTTAAAAGATACAAGTTCTTACGAATGAACACATTTATTGATTTAATAGAACGAAATTCTATGAATCAATTACATTAAATTTTAAGCTATATATATATATTATATATATTTTGAATTTGAATAATTAATATTAACTAGAAAGGATGAAAATTTTAATGTAATTGTTTAATAGCACTTTATTCTACTAAGTTAATAAATGTATGTGTTCTTAAGATTGAACAAGTTGTATCTTTTACCGTCCAGAATAAAACAAATTTTTTTTACTTAAAATAATAGGTACATTTATGTTCTGAATGCTGACTCTTTCTCCTGAAATATTTTGTATATGTATCTTTATTTAAATTAGAATTTAAAAATTAATTTATACAGAGAGAATTTTCCTTTATATTTTACCGCACATTCATTACTTTTATCATGTTTGGTAATAAACCAAAAATTACCATGCTAAAATTACATGTTAAAATTATCATAAACGATTAAGCTGCATTGAAAATATAATATTACATTGTAAAATTTATATAAAACGTAATATTTTTTTATATATTTATTACTTTTTGAGAATCTATTTTATTTAAATCACTTAAAGAGAATCATAAGTTTTTAAAATATAGTTTTTAATATATTTTAAAATTATTAAATTTTTACTATATATTATTATGTTTACTATATATTTTAGCAAAATTAATCGAATATAATTTATATCTTATTGTGTTAAATTATTGATATTTTTATTGTGGAAAAAATATTAATCACAAGAAAATCTCATAAAATTTTTCCAA